TTACTGCAGCCAGGAGACAGTTAGCTTAGCTTAGCATAAACAGCTAGCCTGGTCTGTTCAAAATAGAACTGCCCCCAACCAAAAATTTTCCTAGTCAACTAGTAGTCAGTAGTTCACATCATTAGACAACTAGTCATTGCATGTTTATGATATTAATGTGATCATTTAAACATGTTTTTGGGGCATCAGAGAATGGTTTGAGATCCAGGACTGAGAAAGAATGTTATAAGTAACATTGTTATCACTTTGCTAAATTACAGATAAATACAAAACCGTAATGATGAGCCTTTAATATAGAAATTTTACAAGCACATGCACAAATATCCTTTTCCACCAACTAATTTTGAACTCTCTGGAGCATTTCGACCAAAAATAAATCGGTTTCAAACTTGAAAGTCGGTTCATAGCTGGAACCAAAAAATATCAGGTTTTCCATTACCTGTAGTGCGTCTCACCGACCAATGAAAAATTTGTCAACTAAGACTCGTTTCAGTGACAGTTTGGTTGACTAAAAGGGGGCAGCACTAGTTCAAATGTAAATTTAAAATATAAACGCCTACCAGCCTCTCTGAAGTTCACCAATTAGCACATTATGTTGTGTTAGTTACACTGGACGGTTTCTTGGTGGAGACTTCCTGTCAGAGTCCTGCATGGGGTCAGGCAAGCGTGAGTACCCGAGGGGTACCCCACAAAAAAGGTGATTGGAGGGTGGTATTCTGAGTTTTTTTGTAATCTATTTTTTTCTGGGTGAAAAAAATGTTCATTTAAATGGTATTCCATGAATTCCCTTCATTTTAAAATATCTTAGTTTCACATGTATAAAGTGTCCCAAAATGATCACTTTAAATGCACTGCCTGAACAAATTATTTGAACGGGCCACAGATCTTGTGTCGGCGGATTGGGTTGGGTTGCGGAGCTAATTTGTCATATGTGCGGGTGACAGGGTGGGTGCAGTATTAATGACACGGTTCCAGTTCTGGAGCAGGTCTTGAAAATCAGACCCTGGCAGGACTCTTGTTCCCTGGAGTCTGGAGGTTGCCAGGTGACTAGTGGAGACTCCAGACACACGAGAGTGGAAATTCCCAAAAAATGTTCAACTATTCCTTTAAGTAACCTTTAATTGCACTCCTCATGCTGCTCATTTTTTGTGTCCAGCGAGATGAAACCGTCACCAAACGCATGAAGCTACCAAACGAAGAGGAGAAGGACGTGGCTGTAACTCGCAGCAGGAGGAGGGTGGAGGCACACAACTGCGACATCATAGGAGACCAGTTCTGGGAGAAACACCCAGACATCCTGGAGGACGACAACTGCTAACAGCTCCTGTGCTGCTGAAAAAAATACTGTGGACAGAGTCTAACTGGAATGGTTAAAGTGGACCGAAACAGCTCAATGTTTACTGATGTAGATGAACATGTGCGCCAAGCAACACCATGATGCTTAGTGACCTTGAATCCCCGAACAGAAGACTGAAGCCTTTGTATAATTACGCTTTCACAGCTGTATTAAACTTCTGTCATAATGTTCCCGTAAAGTTTTCTCCTTAAATCGATGGTGATGTCTGTCATGTTCAAAGGGAAGCAGATGATTTCATAATCTTCTAGCAGTGGGTGATGAGGACATACCAGCAGGTTGATACTGACCCAAACATCCTGCCACTCCCAGTCTAGTACATGCAGCTCTCCTAAAGTTGCTTTTCCAAAAATACATCCTCATTTGATATCATGAATAACATTTAGAATACTACCATCACTCGATCTCTCGGCATGCTTAACATGACTCTGCTTGGCCCAATGTTTTTTGCTGGGGTTTTATCTTGTGTGTTGCCGTTTTTGAATCTCAACTATCCTTTTTGTTCAGGAAGCAGAGTTCCTAATGCCTGAATTTTAATGATTCATGGAAGTCCTATCTGCAAAGTGTTCAATATCACTTACAGTTTGTAGTAAGAAGGAGCAAATCTGAGATAGAAATAAGCAGAGTAAAGCAGAAACCAATCCCTTGGCAGGAACGAGTGGCCTTGTCTTGCAGCCAGGACACCATTTAGAGATGTGAATGGATTCGGCGGCCTGCACTGTCATCAGTGCTAAGAATACCTCACACACCCTGCATACACTCTATCCTTCTGACATGTGCCCTGTGGCATATTTATCATCGCACTTATAAATGACCGGCTCAGTATGAATGGCTGCTGGGGCTTGAAGTGGTAGAAGCCAACTGTATTTTGATACTGTAGTAGGCTCGGTTACTGTCAGGTATTAGAGTCGTATTTTTGGTCTCCTGACCTTGTATAAAGCATGTAGCTTCTCTACTGTACTTTATGTAACCATGATTCAACTCTTCACATTTTGGATGAAATTCTTTCGAAGAAGCCTGTCTGTTTTACTAAGACTTCTAAAATGAGTTAATAAACAATTAACAGCTAAATTAATTAAGATGTACAAAGACACATGATTGCAGAAGTTCCTGTTTTCCTAGTGACATAAACCAGCTGTGCTTAGATTACTTGGACTGTTGCCTACACATCCAATGACTCGACATAAGGTCTTATAGTATAGACAGTCTCTTAGTAACCGTAATGTGTTGGGGCAAGTGGTGCAGTTATTTAAAGAGAGCATGTGTTTACATGCAGGGTCTAAACTTAAGCTTGGTGGGCTACCGGATGGAAAAAAACACAAATAGTCTACACTACGTGAATAAAATTGTGCATGTATAGAGTTCCTGTCCTCGGTTCTGATTGGTTGCGTTACCACTGACAGGTAAGCTGCATTCATATAATATTGTCCAGACTGCAGTTAGGAGCAAACTAGTTGGAAAAAATGTTCTCTTAAGCCTTAGAAACAGCAGAGGTGTTGTCAATATGGATGCAAAGCCACCAGCATTAACAGGAACAGCTAAGTAAAATCCACTAATATAAAAATAACCAATTCAGATAATTCAAAAGGAGATACTGTTTTTATGTGTTTCCACTTGTTCCATCAAGACCTCTAAATATTTAACAGTAACTGATTAAGGGAATTTTAATGTTGTGACTACAAGGCTAGCATTTGGTATAGCCATCTTGGAATATTGCCTGAACATTCCCAAATCAGAATATTGGGAAGTTTTCTTTTTTTTTAAATTCTGTTAACATTGCTAATGATTTAAAGCATTCATTTTCACACATAAATAACAGGATAGATAGTAATAAGATGTTCTAATTGGGTTGTAAAGGTGTAAAAAATTCTCTTCAGTGGATCTGAGGTGGAAGAGGATAACTGATGAGGCTCGGACTTGGAGACTACACATTTATAACAAACCAAAAATGTGGAGTTTGTAAGACTAGTGAAGTGCCGCCTGTTCAGAACAGGCGTATTGATTGGCCTGTAGTATTGGTTCACACTCAGCACTGCACTATCTTGGGTCCTGAGCAATACACCTGCCATGACATAGTTGTGTCCCCTAATGCTCGAGTAAACACGTCATCACCTAACCATGAGCTATCTGGGACCAGGCTATATCTGGGATCAAAAGCTTTCCTTCCAAAAGTTACATTGCCAATACTTGAAATGTTTGAGTCTGCTACAATATAACATCTCCAGTCTCTTTTTTCATCTGTTCTTGAAATTTGTTGTGGCGAGCGATGGAGTTCGAGCTGTAACCAACATGCTGTTTGGCAGTGTGACAGTTAACAGGGGGCCCCTCTCAATACACTACTCAGTATGTGCGGAATACACTACCACTATAGTACGGCCCGCAGATCTCAAGAGCTTGCACTGGATGCTGCACATCCTTGGATTCTCAGCAATACACCGCCAAGTGTGAAGTCGATTGAATGAATGGTTGTTGACAGAAATGAAGGACAGACAGAAAGTGACTCCTTACGTTTAAGTTAGCCTAGAACAGGGGTAGGAAACCTGCTGCTCCGGAGTCATATGCAGCTCTGTAGCCGCTCTCCAGTGGCTCTCTGTGGCTTTGACCAAAATTTTTATTCATTATTGTTGTTGGCCTAAAGAAATTCTTTCATTCTCCAGTTGTAAAAATGTGTTGCCTTTGCACTTTTTCCTCTAAATTTTGCCAAACCTCAACAGCGGTAGAAAATTTTAAGCCTCCCTAGCTAGGCTTGCAATGAATTCCAAATCCACAAAAGTAAAGATCTCAGAGGAAAATACAGAACTATATAGTGGGTGGACAGAGTTGTTTGCTTTCACCACCAACACTGCAAACTTAAAGTACCAAATAATCATAAACAGCCCACTGCAGAGGAGCCGTTTTGTGGTAAAACATAGTTTTGAATGCTCATTTATACTTAATTTAATGTCAATAGGCTAATTTAGACTTACTACACAGTGATACTATAAGGCTCAAATATGTTTTGCAGCTCCAGGCAGATTTATTTTAATTACTTTTCATATTTTTGATAGTTAGGGTTGCTGACCCCTGGTCTAGATGTAGGAATTTACCAGGCAGGGAGGGTGTTGCATGATGGGAAATGTAGGATCCAGCATTTTTTGTGCCTTAAGCATACTATAATGGCTAAAAGTGAGGATATCTTGGTCTCTGCTGCTTCAATTTTGACCTTGTGTTTTTTTCAATCTGTCTCTTGAGAGTTTGCCAGCATTATAGGAGTACAATACAAAAAATGTTGGTGTACCACTTTAAGAAATAATGCTGAATTAAAGAAGACAGTCCTTGAACAACCCTTCAACCAAAAGAATAACCATTTAACTATTGTGTTAATGATGATTTTTAGCAGTAGCCTATTATAGATACAGAATAAAATATTTTAAAGATTTTTTCTTTTGCAAAGTCTAAAATTAAGATAATGCTCCATACACGTGGTGTATTTGCATGTTTTACATCAGTCTACTGTAATGATGATGTCAGTGTCTTGTTGCTCCAACATCTTTTCATTATATCCTGTGTAATCTTGCCTCACCTCAGTCGACAGCTCCGTGTCCCTCTCCCTGTGTGTAATAATGAAGGGGAGGGGTTGAGAATGAGAGAGATGTGCGCCCCGCGGTCTGCAAGCATCAGACGAGCAGCGGCGGCTTATCCCGATGTCACACCGGCGGCGTGTTCTCCATCCGATGTGAAACACCCGGACTTGTTTACCGCACATTTATGTCTCAGTTCAGCGGATTGATTTGGAGCCGCTTGTTGTTAGAATGCGTCCAGGAGCGCGCTCTCCTCCTCTCGATGCTGTGCAGTCCTCTCTGTGCCTATGCCTCGTAGTTTTCCTCCACTGTGTTGAGGCTGCTCTGAATGAAGGCGGTGTTTACAATGGTGAGTCTGATTGTTTCCCTGAAGCGATGAAATTGAGTTTTTTACATGTCTTAGGTAAATTAGATCGGGGTTGCATTGCATTGGAATGTGGTTTCAGTTTAATGCAAACCCCCACGTGTTTGTTGTGCATGCATAATGTCAGTATTAATAATTTATTTTCTTATTTGGTCAAAGAGAGTCACCCAGTGCACACATAAAAAATAAAATAAAAATAGATTTCAATAGGTAACTGAAGTGCACATGCTGCAGACCACCTCTTGCATGCTCATTTGTCATGCTCCCCTTTTTTCTGTTTGCATCAGGAGAGAATAAGCAGGGTTCACAGAGGAGCATCCTTGATCATGTACAGAGTTATGAGATTACTTATCCCACATGGCTGCATCCTCACAGACACAGGCGGTCCGCCACCAAAGAGGTGAGTCTGTCCGCCTTTATCTCTTTCTCTGTTCATTTCACTAACAAAATAATATTTTAAAAAAACCTGACATTAATCTTGACATATGTAAAGTAGCCTAACTCAGCTTCTTGCAATCCCTGTCTTCCCTACAGCATCCTGCAGAGGCACTGGTTCTGATCTCAGCTGAGGGCCAGGAGCTCAAACTACACCTGGAGAGAAATGAGTGAGTGACTTTAAGTGCACTACACCACCAGTGTGTTTCATGAGGATTAAATGTCTCTGGTAACATTCCTGCAGCTTTGAGCTCAGAGGAGCAGGGCCGTAATCACCTATTAACACTCAGGGGGCCATTTTCAATGTACGCCTTTGACAACCCAGGGGGGAACTTTGGAGATATTTTTAGAAACTTAACAACCAAACTGATCACTTTAAAGCATTTTTCACAAAAATCTTGGATCAAGGGTTCATGATGACCATTTTAGGGAGCCAGCATGTGATTGAGGGCCACACAGGAAAATTGCCCACACTATGACTTTTTTATGGCTTATGGCTCATACCATATTAAGACGTTTTTTACACCATTTTTTATGAGGTGCTGTTTTCTGACATTATTCATGTACTTTTTAGGACATGATGAAGCCTACTTTGACTTTTTTTGTAACATACTATGTCTTGGCTAGAGCAGAGAGTGTTTGAGAGACAGTTGGAGGCTTGCAGCAGCTATTTATTTCCATTCCTAGAGTGCAGACCCTGCTTATCATTACGTCACTTATCATCACAGTCTCGCCAGAACGAGTATCCAGTTTAGCCATGATCTGAACAAGCAGCGAGTCTTTGAACCCAGATTTGTACACCAGTATGTTCTTACAAAATGCGTTTGCTGGGAAATACTGTCGGATTTTATGCATATTTAGAGAGCATACAATTGTCTGAATCAGTACATTATCGGGAGGACAGTATGATGCTTTCTGAATAGTGAGGGTTACTTGTACCCCCCAAAGTGTACTGTGATTACACCCTAGCCAAAATGAGACAAAAGCTAGCTAAACTAATTCAAATAGTCGCTTGTATCAAACTTTTCCCATGTCACTAAACTGAGAATATTCAACATCAAGCTTTGTATTCTACAAGATGACACGACTGGCCCTATTTATTTGACCAGATGTTAGCTGTCCAGTGGACACATTTATAAGGTCAGCGCCCTGTGGGTGCAGAGAGGGGGATGAAGGGAGGAGAGTCGGGTGATGGTTTTAAACCACAGATGGTTGACACCCGATCTGTGTGCTGTGGGCAAACAGGACGCAAGACTGTGCGTCTGCACCTAACATCCTGTAATCTGATGGAGCAGTTCCTGTCCAGTAACAATGGGACGGTGATAGGGAGTATCTTGCTCGGTTAATGGACAGCGTGGTCACTGGGTGGGACAGCAGGGAGGACCGGAGCAGTGGAGATGTCAGCGGTGACTACAGAGCTGTGGTTTATCACTTTTGGATTTGAGCCAGCGAGCAAGTGGAAAAGGAAGCTTTTATGAACATTAGAAATGAAGTCCACTTTTACCATCAAGTGCATGCTCTCTCTCTGTCACTCATTCACTCAGAGGCACACACATTAACAAACCATGACTCCACTGTGTCTGACTGACCCTCCCCTGAGGGATTTGCCCCCCTGCTCTCCCTCCTCAGCAGGTGGTCCCACTGTTAGATTTCCTCCTGGGCAAGGAATTTTAATCAATCACACACAGTGTTTGTCTACGTATGTCTGGTGAAGAGAGCGACAGACATGAGGAAAGACAGGAAGGTGGTTTGAGATATATTTGACAAAACTTTTACACGTGGTCAGGCTCCTCAACACGAAGTAGAGACGTTGATAACTGATATGTATACATATAGATCATTTTAAGAAAAGAGGAAACAAGATTCAGTAGAAAAAATCTAATTCATTTTAGTCATTAGCAAGAAAAATATATTATGAAACATTTTTTGTGCAACTTCTCATCTGTTTCCTGGAACAGGAAAACTGTTAATATTTCTTCACAGGTTCTCATCACTTCTGCTACAGTTACAGTGAGGTGATGTGAAAAAATGGAATAGGTAGGCTATTCATATGATTTAAAAAATAATAATAATAATAATAATAATTGTAGAATTAAAATATATTAATTGCCATTTTACTGAAAAGCCATACAAAAGAAATTGGAAATTTCAAGCAAAAACAGACACAGTTTCATATTAAATAAATGCATTCCACTTCCTTAGTATTGATCCTTTAATGTACTGTGTCTGAGAGCTTTACTGACGTGGAGAAAATCATGTGAATACTGTTTTCTGTTTCATTCACTTAAGCTTGCACGCTTGTGTGCCACAATTCACTAAAGGACTGTATAAGAATTATTAGAGGGAGGGGAGGGAGAGGGCAGCTAAAATGGGGGAGGGTCATGGGTTTTTTTTCTCCTCTTTTTTTAAAGAGAGGTTAGTCTAAATTTTGCATTTGAAGAGCATGTCTTTGAATGTTCCTCACAATTTTAATAATTTATTTCAGCCTACCCTTGGTCTCCACAGTTACTATCTGTGTTTCCATAAATATATTTTGATGCACAATTAGAAGTACCACATTAGAAAAGCTGTATGAAACAGCCACATTTGATAAAACTTCCTCAATTACACAAAAAAAGACTTTACACTTGCTTCAAGTGTCTTTAAAAAAAGAGTTGAGGAGCTAACTGGGATATGAAGACGCGTTTGCCGAACATATTCCTCAAGACTTCTCCATTTTCCTCCCATAGAGGTGTACAATGGCTAAGGCGACTTGTCTTGTTTCAAATTCACGACCTATACTTCCTCTACTCTGTCTCTTGGCGGATTGTAGAATGTACTAATTCTAATTCATGCACCTTAAGTTTATATAATTGAATTGAATTGCACCAATTTAACACTGTTATAGTAACCCGAGATGTTCAGATATTTTTCTAAGTCATGGGAAGGATCCATTTAAAAAAATGGAGAGCCTTGCTTTTTTAAACATTGAACCATAATCCCTATAATTTTCACTTCCAAAAACATAGTCTTACAACATTCAGAGAAAGAGCTTTCCGGCTTTCAAAGTAGACCCATTATTTCGCCTGAGGTTTACCGCTTCACCCTGCCACCAGCCAGTGTTTCCCCTCTCTCCAAGCCTAAACAGCAAAACTCACACTGAGTTACTGTGTTTTGATGTGTCCTCTGTTGGCCTACTGTGGCTTTGTGAGACTGTCGTGGGAGTGAAGAAGACAGTAGTTTGTGTCAGCAAAGATCAATGTCTGATTATGGAGAGAAGACAGAGTAAATGTGTCCATCTCTGTGTCGTGGCTACTCCCTCTTGTCCTCATTGCCCCCTGCAACTGTTATTCTGACAGCCAGCAGATAAGGAGGAACCTAAACTGGCTGTGAGATGGTCTTGATCTTGTCTTGCAGTTTATCCTCTTGTGGCATTTAACAATTTTTTCTCTCCGCTCTTTTTCTTTTAGTCCCAGTCCACCTCCTCTCCTCTCCACTTAATGTTCACTTAATCAAAACCTGGAGAAAGACATAGATGTGAATGTTTGTGGGCATCAGTACTCCCAGTGGCTGGAGTACAGACTCAATCCATTTATGTCCTCCCCTGCCATACTTGTCAGTGTGCATGTGTGTGTGGGGGTCTTTTTTTGGTTTGTACGTGCATGGGTGTGAGTGTCTGTGTGTCTGCCTGAGCTTTTATCTTAATGAAAGGCTATGGTGAGCCCGTAGAGGGTTGATTTGGTTAAGAGCCAGGGAGCGGCTAGTGTGCTGACTCAGAGTGCAGGAAAAGGGATGTTAAAACATGGAGTGAGAGGGGGAGGAAGCAGGGTAAGAAAGTGAGTGATGGACCGGAGGAGAAAGGTTGAGGTGAGAAAAGTCATGGAAAGAGGAAAGTGGCGACAGTTGGGGTCGGTTTGGGTGTGAGTTATGTTAGTTTGGTTCTGATATGAATAGTGTGGATACTCTTGCTTCCTCTCCTCTGCATGACTTTCTGTGTTCTTCTGTTTAATGCCCTTCCTGCACACCCTTAAGTGCACGAACCTGAATTAAGCACTCCCTCGGGAAGTGTTCGCATCATTGTTCCTCCTCTCCCCTCATCCTCACCTCATACGTCTCCCACTATCCACGCTAAAAACGAGCACCCCATCCTTTCTCATTTCTTTCCTCCCTTCACCTCATCTGATATTCCCCAGGGCTCTAGTGCAAACACACATCTCCCACGCGCTCTCGGCGGTCATGGTTTGGGAGACTCTGGCCACACGCAGACAGACAATGATACACACACAGCAGCCCAAAAGAACACAAACAAGGCTGAAAGCAGGACCTGATGGATCACAGGTCTGCGGAGCCGAGAGCAGAGATGCACTCGCTTGTCCTTGTTTCTATGTTTAGTCTCCCAGTGGCTCGGCCCTGTCTGCTTTGATGTCTTAATCTAGGCCTGTGTGTTGGGGAAACACTCACACACACACTCAGGGCTTCACACAACAGTACACTGGCCTCCCCGTGCAATAAAAGCCTCTTCATCATCCGTTGCCGAGCGGTTCTTTGACTTTGCGTCAGCTTTTTTCCCTCACTCCTCCCGGTGATGTCATCCGATACTATGAGAGAATGCGACCCACTGACCCTAATGCATTACCCCGCGTCCCCTTCCCCTCCCTCCTTCACTATCTCCCAAGTACATTAGCATTACCCCCCACCCTTTCTCTCCCCCCATCATGAGGCTGAACTGAGCCTTTGTCTCAGCCTCACTGCCAGACAGCCCTGATTCAGCCAGTATTGCGCTCCTCAATCACAGCATCTGTCTGGACACTGGACGACATCCAAACTCTGTGGAGCTCTCCCGCCATCACACAGAGGGGTTGATTTGAAAGCTCTCACAGCATTTACCACAATGCAATAAGACACAAGGGTCTGGGATATGCCAAGGGTGTTTGTGGTTTAGACTAACTTTCTTGTAGAGAGTTGGATGAGAATTGGATTCCACTTTGACGGCTGTACGGTAGCAGCAGCTTAGCTTAGCGTAAAGACTGGAAACAGGGGGATCAGCTACCTCTGTTCAAAGTCCTCCTCCCAGCACCTCTAAAGCTATCCTGTTTGTTTAATTCATACAAATACCAAAGTGTATCACCAACAATTTGTCGCTTTACAGGGGGATTATGTGTCAGACTACTTCTTTAGCCAGGTGTATTGA